GGTTATTAACAGGAGTGGCACTCAGGGAGCATACAATTCCTCTGTTGCGCCAGCTCCACTGGCTGCCAGTTTGCTACCAGGCACAATTCAAAGTGCTGGCTTTAGCCTATAAAGCCCTAAACGGTTTCGGCCCAACTTACCTGTCCGAACATATCTCCTCCTATGAACCAGCTAGGACGTTAAGATCGTCTGGGGAGGCCCTGCTCTCGGTCTCGCCTGCATCACAAGTACGGTTGGTGGGGACGAGAGACAGGGCTTTCTCAGTGGTGGCTCCTCGGCTGTGGAACGCCCTTCCCATAAAAATTAGATCGGCCCCCTCCCTGTTAGCATTTCGGAGGAAATTGAAGGCCTGGTTGTTTGAGCAGGCATTTGAATAGGCAGTGTAACTAATATAGAACTATGGAACAATTGGATGATGAGACTGGATCTTGATTTTAACTATGAGATGAGATGAGATGTTATGATATTTATTGATTGTTATAATGTTATTCTTTTAAATTGTTCTTAACTGTTTTTATCATGTTTAAGTATTGTATTTGCTATTGTGAACTGCTCTGAGTCGCCCTGAGGGCTAAGAAGAGTGGTATACAAATATAGTAAATAAATAAATAAATAAACTTCACAGACTGGACCTACCATTAAACAGAAAGAAAATGGCTACTTCTGGTAGTGTCCTCATAGCTTCTAAGGTACTGTCTACACTGTCATATAATCCAGATTTTCAAATTAGACAATCCACATTATCTGCTTTAAACTGGATTATATGCATCTACAATGCCATATAATCCAGTACAAAGAAGATAATCTGGATTTTATATGGCAGTGTGGAAGGGGGCTTAGCAAACAAAAAAAGTTCCACTTCTTAATGGCCATTTATTCCAAATGGGTGCACATTTAAAAACTGTGTAGCTCTAATATTGTCATTTCAATTCATTAAAGGGGAAAAATCACAATTCCCAGATTTGGTCCCAGTGGTTCTGAGCGAAATAAATAGAATTTGGTGATATATTTAAAACCAGGGATGGTCAACTATGTGTCTGAAATAGTTGTTTCAGAAAGCAGATAAATATTGTGCCCTTTAAGCTAGGAGAGGGTGCAAGAGAAGGGTGAAAAGGCAGCAAATTGTTATTACATTTATTATTGATTTTTTTATTGCCGTTGTCGGATAAGGTAACTGTAGGATTTATCTCCTGCCTCTTATGCCAGAACAAATTGCCTGGTTTGTGGAGCTATGCATTTTGCCTTGGGTTTTAAGTGGCGCTGTTGGTCCCAAATAGCAAAAGGTCTTGGACCATCTCTGTCACAAGACAAATATAAGCCAAGCTGACAGGAAAAGGCAGCTTTCTTCCTCTTGACCCCCAATTTAATCTACCTTTTGCTTCCATTCCCTGCTTTCCTTGCTAAAACTGCTATTTGAAGAGATTAATGCCACAGCCCCCTACCATGTCTCTTTTGTGCCCATCATAGCTTAAAGGGCACAATATTTATCTCCCATTTTCCAAAATGACAATTTTAGACACAAACTTGGCTGCTTCCAGCTAAAAATATATCACAAAATATGATTTCTTTTCCTCAAAACTACCAGGACAAAAACTAGAGGTTGTGTTCTTCCCACCTTAATGGATGGAAATGGCTTTATTAGAGCTATGAGCATTGAAAATGTGCACTCTTTTGAAATGAATTGCCATTTTAAATGTGTGCTTGCTGTTTTCTCAAATGGCAGTTCAAATCCCTTGTCTGACAGGAAGAGAACTGAATTAATGAGAATCAGCTTCCATCTTTTTTTATTCAACTATTTAATCTTCAATTCCAGGTAAATGAATGCAGTCTGACACCATTTTAACTCTTAGGGCTCACTGCTTTGGAATTATGAGAGCTGTAGTTTTTGGCCATCTCTGCCACATCAAGCTACAATTCCCACAATTCCATAGCATTGCACTACAGCAGTTAAAGTGGCGTTAAACTCCATCAATGCTGTAGTATGGATACTTTTCCAACAAAGGAAACACTATATGATCCTGGCCTTTGTCTCCTCTCTTTCTATTGTCTTACTTTTGCTGACTCTGGATCCTATCTTCGTTGTAACCTTTGAGACATATAATTCCAAGCAGTGATATCTTTACTGAGCCAGCTGCAAAATATAGAATACATCATGCATGCTTTCCAAGTCATCAGGCAAAGGTGTTAAAAATAATACAGGAGAACAAAGAAAACAATACCAGACTCACAGACCTGATTTTGTCTCAGGTGTTACTTTGTTGTAAATTAAAATAATATTGAGAGATCTCAATGAAGGCAGAGGCCACTTCCCTTCTTGGCTATGTGAGGACTAGAGACAAAGGCCAAGACATTATAAAACATGAACTCCATTAGAATCATAAAAGTAATTTTCCACGAGAGTAAAAACAAAGATCCACCCAGAGGAAAAGTGTTCTTGCCCTACATCAAGGGAACCACTGACCGCATAGGGATGCTGATGAGGAAACACAACATACAAACTATCTACAGACCCAGTAAGAAAATCCAAGAAATGCTATGTTCAGCAAAGGACAAGAGGGATCCTCTCACCTCTGCAGGAGTCTACCGTATGCCATACAGCTGTGGACAAATCTACATAGGGACCACCAAACACAGCATTGCCCAAGCACAAATCAAAGAATATGAAAGGCATTGCAGACTACTTCAACCAGAGAAGTCAGCCATAGCCGAGCACCTGATGAACCAACCTGCACATAGCATATTATTTGAGAACACAGAAATGCTGGACCACTCTAACAACTACCATGTCAGGCTACACAGAGAAGCCATTGAAATCCACAAGCATGTGAACAATTTCAACAGAAAGGAAGGAACCACGAAAATGAACAAAATCTGGCTACCAGTAGTAAAAAAAACCTCTAAAATTATAACAGTAAATAAAAAACAAAGCTCAAACACAGGGGAACTCCAAACAAGAAATAATCAGGAACAGCTAATCACCTCTCAACAAAGGAATTTCCCAGGCAGTAAGAAGCCACACCTAAAACCTGTCAGGCCATCAAATGCTAATCAAAGTGGCAAATTGAAACATTCACACCTAGCTTCAACCGACAAGAGTTCTTTCTCGCAGTGCTGCTTGAAATTCCTGGTAAGATAGGTCCAAGGACTGCAATTGTGCTGGTATGGCTGTACCAAAAGCTCCAACTTCCTTTTCTTTCTTTGAGTGTTTGCATGTATTCCAAAGTTCCATGCATTTTGCAATAAGGTGGCTTCCCTTGGTTTGCAATTATAGGGCCAATGACCCATCAATCATTGTTAAGTTTTGGTTCCGCCCCTTTCCCCAGGGCTCCGGAGGAGAGGGAGCCATTTTAGGTCAGTCTTGCATTGGAAAGCTTAGCTACAGGACATGGATTAGCACCACCTGTAGAGAAGCTTCATTTCTCATAGCATCCAGGGGAAATTCCAGGGGAAAACAGTTCCAAAGGACTCCAGTTGGAGAATCTACAAAGCCTTGACTGGTAGATCTACTCGGGACCCAAGAAGCAGTTTGGAGCTGGGAGTAGAGCCCACACCAGCAAAGTTTAGAAAGTAGATTGCCCAAGGAGGGGTTAAAAAGGGTTTTCTTCTTAAAGAAAAGAAACAGTTCATGAAGCCAGTTGCCTGTCCCTTGTGGACAAGATTAAGAAAGCCACCAGTAGATTCAAAGCCTTGAAGTATTTGTTTGACTTGTTGAAGATCTGAGAAATATTTTATTGTTTTGTTGAAGACTTAAGCAATAATCAAGGACTTTGTTAAACCTTTCAAGCTTCTAAAGACTCTGTATAGGAAAATCCTTAGGGCCTCTCACTCGAGGCAAACCGGCTTCCCGCTGGGCACAAAGAGCACGTCCTGTTCAAAAGCCAACTGCTATAGGTCCAGCGCATGACAGCACAGCAATACCAGCTTGCAAGAATAGATTGTTACCCAACATACATCTAATACAGCTGGCTACATCTCTCTAAGAAAGGCCATGAAGAAATCCTGATTGCTGAGCCATGCCTTCAATACTCCTCCCTTTCCAGGGCTGGTCTCTTCTCTTCTAGATTTGACATATAATGCAGTATAGACAGTAAGATTATCACATGCCTCATTCAGTAACATCAGAGAATGTGGCTGGTTCTTCACAGTTATATTGTCAGGAAGAGGTGTGGAGGATGATATCATAGTGTTAATGGTAGATACCCACATATGCACCACTGAAGAGAACAACATAAGGAACTAATAACAATATTTACAGTTTCTTGGCTTCAAACTAGAAGCTGTACACATTTGAATGGAGAACAGTGGGCACCAAGAGCACAAGAAACTCTACAAGAAGTGTTGCCAAAAATAAAAAAAGAATGAGGATGAGTAAGAAGGGCCATGGTGTTGTTCAGTTCTGAACATTCAGTATTTGGTTGCTCTGTCTCAAGCAATAAAGGAAAACAGAGCAAATGAGCAGCATTCTTTCAAACTAATTATCTGGTTGTTCTCTGGAAAATCCATATGAAAATAGACTGACAACTCCCAGGACAAGTGTATTCTCCAGAGATAAGAATTTCTGTTCAATTATTACACATATGATTATTCTTTTAGCCCAAGGCCTGCCTTGCAAATAGAACATTTAACCCAGCCCTTGCTGAGGCCCACATCAACTGATTTTAAGTTGCAATAGCCTTCCATATTTTCAAGCAAAATCAAATACTATTGACAATCCAAACTGGAATAGGTTGAAACAATTGTTGAATAGTGAGTTAATATTTACGAAAATTCCAATGATTCACTGGGGGACCTTAATTTAGATTTATTCTATACATTGGCATGACCCCTAGTGGGGTGGAACATCATGTTTTCTCCATCAAGGCATATTTCCAATCAAAGAATATAAAAAAAATTCCTTTCTCTTTCAGAAGAATAAAGTAATGGGCAAGTAATGGCAACCTACATTTTCTATTCATTCCCATAGAAGCATGACACAATGACATTTTGAATCAACAGCCTACCTGTGGCATTGGAAAGAGCAAGAGATTCCATTGAGCCACGCGGAGTTTGCTCTGTGGGAGTCAGTTCCTCAGTGAATTTCAAGGCATTGATTGGATGCCTAGTACGACAATGCTGTGCAGACCTACTGCTGTCTTCCTCTTGGTCATATTTGGAGACCTTGTAACTCCCCCTGTTTTCAGTGAAGCTCTGGTTGGACATGTCACTGTAGCTCTCCTGTGATGGTAGTCTTCCTGAGTAATAATCTTCTCGGCACTCTTGGATGAAGCTACCACCATGTCCTTTCATGGCAAGGGAGGAACTCCTCTTTGGATTACTGAAATGTTTGCCCCACAGTTCCTGTTGAGCACTTGGACTCTGCCCTGCATTGTAAGAGGTCCTGATGTTACACTGGCTGAGCATCTGCAAAGGGGTTTGTGACTGATTTTGTGACTCCATTTTGTTCCCATAGTGGTAGAGCTCATCTCTGCTCCTCCATATGTGGTCCCTGTTTAGACTTGGAGTCTGGCTGGATAAGCTCAGCAAGTCCATTTGCAAGGAGAGGGGATCCACGTCTGTAGAGAGCCTATTGGAGGTCACCTGCAGTTGATTGCTCTGGCTGGCAGAGTTCTCTTCTCCTTTGTTCCTGTTCTTGCCAATCTTGGCACTACGCCGGGATTCTTTGGCTCTCGCACTTTGGAAAGCAGAGTCAGATGAATCGGAGGCATTGGGGTCATCCCCCATGCTGCATGCTCTGGAACAGAAGATCTGCCCTTGCTTTGGCAGGAATGGCCGCCCAAGAAGTGACTTCTTGCACTGTGCACAACAAAAGCAGGTCTCCGTTGCATGCCAATGCTGGCCGTCATAAGTCATCTGACCCTGGTCAATTCCTACAAATAAAGGGGAGAAATACTGTTAAGCATGCTCTTCTTCATCTTAATAAAGCTAAAGACATTTAAGGCTAAACTAAATATGGTGACATTAAGCATCTGACTTATTCCTAATAATACATTCATCATCTCTGTGTTGGTTGTAAGCCAAATCCGGACTGTGACATTGGAAAAGAGTGCATTTTATCATTTGCTCTTGGTGGTATTCCTGACTTGGAGTCAACAGTAACTTTAATTCTAGTCTCAATCCAATCCAGCAACTGTGGGAAGGAAAGACTAAATATGGTAAAGGAAACGGTTAAATCTCTTTATCGATTCCCCACAGCAGCTATTTAGTAAACTAAGGATACAAACGTCAAAACACATTTTTCTCCATCCCATGTAATTTAGTCTTTATATAAGCAACAATCTAAAGGCAGATGAATCACATATAATCATAAACATTTTCATTCTTTCCATACTGCACCGTTTTAGCAGTTTCATCACATTTGGGCTGCATCTAACTAATCCTGATATATCTAGTTTACTGAGGCCATAGAGATTGCTGGCACAGAATTCTAAATACCTTACTACAACTCCCAGGAGTTCTGGCAGTTAAGGATTATGCAGTGTGAAGGAGACCATATAAATCCTTTTCTTGATAAACACACACCAGCCAATTTGTGAGAGGTATCAGCTTTGAGAAAACTGTTAAAGATTTGGAGAAGTATAAAATCTTAACTGATGCAGGGGAGGTAACATCCAAAATGCCCAAAGAAGAGTGGGGGAAGGGGAAACCATAAACAGAGGGGAGGGAAAGGAAATTTATTTGAATCCCTGAAATGGCCACATCTGCTAACCAGGGGTACTCTATACTGCATTTTGTTATTGTCCTATTTATAGTGTACAACATATAAAAATATAACACAGTTTTAGCCAAGTGAAATCCTGATAATGGGAGGTAAAGGTTTGGCAGTAGACTACATGCAGCGAGCATTGATAGCAAAATGACCATGCCAGCAATGCAGGCTCTAAAAATACACCATCCAACACAAAACCAGGTACTCAACATTATTTTTAGATTCTGCATCTATTTCTTCTTCTTTTTAAATAGGTCATTAGTCATTATTATTGCAGAGAGAGTGGAAAATAATCGGTGAAAAAATGTAGGCAGTTTCAGCTAATTTATCCTTTCTGCTAAAAGGGGTAAGGATGGGCGCTCCAGCTGTCAGAGATCATTAACATTTTCATTGGTAGGAGTTCTAGTCTGTTTTGGTATTCTGTTTTGCCCATTCCTCTGCATTAAATATGCAACTCTCAATATTACATTACTGCATATTTAAAACAGTACAGATGAAAACTATGCAAAACCTTCAAGAAAAGTATACATGAACATTCATCAAAATTTATGAAAAGACTGCATATAGACTTTACAAATAAGTACCAAACAGTCGGTTTCTAAAAGTCCACTCCAGTTAATTTTGGAAAGCCTCATGGACATACTGATAGAAGGATTGCAAGGATGGGGCTATTCTGGCATCTTTAAGTAAGGAGTTCCAATGTCTGAGAGTAGCCACCAAATATATACATGTATCTCCTTGTATCCACCAAATGAGCCTTAGAAGATGGAACTGCAGATTGGAGGGCATCTTTGATGAACTCTTGAGTAAACACATCAGAGGATTTCACAATAATTGTTTGGTTCAGGTCACTCTTTAAACCAGATAAGGGGAAATGTTGATTTGCTTTGGGCTTCAATGCACTCAAAGATGGTAGGGTGCCAATGCACTTAAAGATGACAGGGATAAAGAACCTTGGGCCCTCCGTGTGTGTGTGATATCCTGCCATTCTCTCCAAAGTGATATAAAATGTGTTTGAAATCTGAATGAAATACTAGACAAGACCTGCAAGCGAAATTCAGATTTCCAGTTAAAAACAGCAATCTGAACTTGACAACTTTAATAATAATAATGATAGTAATAATAATAATACTTTATTTATAGACCGCCTTATCTCCCCAAGGGGACTCAGGGCGGTTTCCAACACATATGGCAAGCATTCAAAGCCAACAAAGAAACGTATCAACAGATTACATCAAAACGAGTTACATTACATAATGTAAAACAACTGAACTGTAAATTTAATAAGACTATACCAAAAATTTGATCTAACAGCACTAGCAGACATAATCCCATCATCTAAGTTTACACAAAATAAAACATTTAACACATAAAACACTTTTACTTTCCATAATGCTGCTGCAGAATTTGATTTATTTTAAATATTTTTTTCACTTTAAGGTTCTAGACCATTTGGTGATGTTAGTATTTGATTCTGGCATCAGAGAAGTTAAATCTATTTGGCAAAACCATGTTCTAAAAGTAAAAAAATTGCATTAGAAGTATACTTCATCCTTTTTCCTATATGTATTATGACAATAAACTACTTCAGTCAGGCTGCAAAAAACTAACTCCTCCCTAGCCATATCTAATCAGTTTTCTGTTTACAGGCCTACCTCTACAAAGAAATCTTGATAATAATTGTGTTCCCTCTATCCCGGCCACCTGTTCAATGGGGAGAAGGGAAGCAGAGTCCCCAAGGAAACACCCAGCTTGCTAGTTTTGTCATCAACTATCTGTCATAAAGCAGCAGAATGAATGAAGGAAAGAAAGGAGTGTGCCTTGATCTTGTGCTTAGCTCCCTAGGGATTATCAAAAGAATTAAGCTCATTGTGGTCTTAACAATGAAGAAGACTGTTCTCAGCTAAAGGGTCCTGAAGCTTACCCATCACAGGTCAGAGCAGCTGCCAGTGAAATTAACACACATCACTGACACCATGTTTAGCCTGGAAGAATTAACACAATGTTAACTTTACATTAAAAACATGGGAAGTTGACTTCAGACCATCTATCCTTCCATGGCCCTTGCAGAAAAACCTTTTATTAATCAGCAGGGTATGTACTGTGTTTTTTTTTTCAAAAGTAGCATATCTAAAACTTTCAGAAGAAGAATAAATAAGAAAAAATGGTCTAGACTGAACAAGTTTTCCAGTCTGGTGCCTTCTAGATGAGTTGGAGTACAATTCCCATCAACCCCAGGCAGCATGTTTCCACATCAACTGTAGAAGTTGTAGAAACTGTTGAAGGGAAAGAAAAATATTTAACCCTCCCTCTTCTCAACAGCCCTTAAGATAGCTAGGATGGGAAGAGAGGCTATAAATTTCTCACATCCCAATGCAGCAACACTGAATTCCCTCCTCTCCCTCCTCTGTTTATTTGTGGCCTCCAGCCCATGGCTAATACTGAATTTTGGCTAGCTATAGCTGAAACACTGCCTGGGGGATTCTGTGAGTTATAATCTCAAAAGTAATTTTTCTGAGCTCTGGTTCCAAGACATATATATTAGGGCTGGGCGGTTTCGTTTCGTTAATTCGTAATTCGTTAATAATTCGTTAATTTTTTCAATTACAAAACGATAACGAACCATTCTGGAGCAATTATTAAAAAAAACGAATTTTCAAAAACGTTTTGTAAATGCTTCGTATTTCGATATTATATTCGTTTCGTTATTGTTTTGAGGTCGTTTCGTTATTATTTCCGCATGTCTGGGCCAGTGTTATGGTTTAATTAGTGAAAAAAAATTATAATATCACACCAACAGTCAACAACAGAGGGAGAGGGAAGCTTCAGAAGGTTTTGGAGGTTTTTTAGCGTATTTCGCGGTCGCGTCCGCCATTAACGAATCGATTCGTTATTGTTTCGGAAATCGATTCGTTAATTTTTTACCATTTACGAAATTTCGTAAATATCGAACTTTTTAAAAGGAAAATTTTGTAATTATTTTAAATATCGAAACAAAAAAAAACCCCAAATACAAATTGATTTTAGAAACAAATTTTTCCGTTGTTACCCAGGCCTAATATATATGTTGTTCCAAACCATGCAATTGGTACTGTTGTTCATTCCTTTGCTAAGCACTTGTGCAGAAAACACAAGATAGTAGCCAAGATGGCCAGCAAATTCTGTGGGCAGTAATACAGAACAAAAACTCCCCAAAAGCTGTGATTCTTCACTATTATTATTATTATTATTATTATTATTATTATTATTATTATTATATTTTTAACCTGCCCTCTCTCCCCAAAGGGACTCAGGGCAGCTTCCAAACAAAGGCAGACATTCAATACCCATGACTTTGTTCACATCTGATCACTATTCCAAATAGTAATTATTTTATCAGCACGGTGCCTCTTGAGATTAGGTTCTCACATCACCATTATTCTCAATGGCTGTGATCCTAGATGTTTACATAGCTTCATATGAGCAGTTCCACATGTTCTCACCATTTGGCTGAGTGAAACTGTAGTGCGGTTCCTCATCAGTGAAAAGGAAGGGAAAGGGAGGCAATTCAAAATTGAGAATCAGCTAGTCTCAGCTTTGTGCAGGGAAGGAAGAACAGTGAGCGTATGATCTCAAAAGAAGCGCACCTGTCTTTTCTTTCCCCTGGGTGCTCAGAGCGACTGAATCTTCATTATCTGAAGCATCTTTCTTTTCTTCCTTTAGATAAAAAAAGAACAGAAGCAGGCTCTCCCAAGATTTGACAATTGCTGGTTGGTGGGAGGTTTTTGGATGGAGAGCAAGTTCAAGTGAGTCGTCTGAATCCCAAGCAAAAAGAGACTTATATGTGTGCAAGTCACCAACTGAATGTCAGCCGTAGAGTCTGTAGAAGATCTATGTATGTTTCAGCAACTGTTCCTCCCTCACTTCTCAACAGATGCACTTTCTATATTCTTGTACCCTGGTTGTTTCCTAATTTTGTGCCTATTTTGATAGAAATTTCAGAGAATAAACTTTTAAGTCAAGGAAGAAAAAAGTTAAATGTGCACACAGTGTGCTACAGCTGCTCTTCTTAACTTTTCAGCACCTTCCTCTAAGTCTCTTGAAGTTAAAACACTGGGTAGAAAACAGATGCAGTTTGACTTAACGGCACACTTAAGAACTCTAAAGCACCGGTTCACAGGC